GCTGAACCCCCTTCCCTGCCGCGCGGGGCGCGCCAGGGACGGCGCCAGAGGCGTCGCCAGGAGAACCCAGCGCCAATCCCAGAAATCCGGCCGCTCCCGCCCTGCGGGTTGGGCCGTGCGAGACCTCTCTGACAGAGTGTTTGGCACAGTCTTTGGCCCCCTTCGCCAGTGCCTGGTCAAAAACCTCCTGAAAGCCCCTCCGAGGGGGCCCCACTCTGCCGCTGGCCCCCCCCGGCCTCAACCCCCTGAACGTTTGGAACGGCCTGGGGACGATTCAAGAGCGTTCCAAGACGGTCCAAGAGAGCCCCAGGACGGTCCAAGAGAGCCTCCAGACGGTTCCAGATCGCTCCAAGACGCCCAAGATGGCCCCCAGACGCCCCAAAACGCCTCCAAGACGCCCCAAAAGGCTTCCAAGAGCACCCCCAAGAGGGCGCCAAGAAGCAAAATTCATTGATTTGTCTATGGTTTTTGAAGGATTTTGGCGCTCTCGCCATTTTGGCTTCCCGACACTCCAAAACGGCCCAAGAGGCCCCAAAGATCGCCCCAAGACGGCCCAAGAGGCCCCCAAGGGGGCTCCAAGACGGCCCGAGACGGCCCAAGAGGCCCCCGGGACGGCCCAAGAGGGCCCCAGGACGGCCCCCAGAGGGGGCCCAGACGGGGAACCCGAACGGACATTTCGAGCTTTCGGTCCCAAGAGGCCCCCAGGAGGACCTAAGAGGGCCCCAGGAGGCCCCCAGGAGGCTCCCAAGAGGCCCCAAGAGGCCCCCAAGAGCCCCCAAGAGGGCCCCAAGAAGCTCCCAAGAAGCCCCCAGGATGGCCCCCAAGAGGCCCCTAAACTCCCCCGCAAAGGCCCCCGAGAGCCATCTCGAGAGACCCCAAGGAGCGTCCACGAGGACCCCGACCCAAAACCCAAGCACGGTGGCGGCATGGGCCGACGGCTATTTGACAGCTGGCATACGCGCCGCGTCATGACTTTCGATGCTGCGCACCACTTCGACAAACTCCCAGGGAGCGGCCGGTGATGCGCCGCCGGCGTCCTCGATCCCCAAGGAGCTCCGAGAAGTGATGTTTATGTCATAGCTCTTCGACCCTCAGAAAATATTATGCTTCAAAAGCTTGAGGTACAAGCGTGCAGTACGCTTTAGGAATGCAGCCACCCACGATCTGTAACTACGACGACGACGACAGCTACTACAACGATCGTGACGACGATCGCGACGACGTCGACGACCACACTCGGGAAGCCACCGCCAACGGACGACGACTACGACTCCGATCCCGACGACAACACGACGACGACCAGGATGACGACCGCGACGACGATCACGACGACTGACGACGATCGCGACGATTACGAATACACCGACGACTGCGACTGTCACGACGACGGTCACAACGACGATCACACGCCGACGACGACCATCGCTACGACCAAAATGAACGCGACGACCATGGCGATGTCAACGACGACGACAACAATTGCGACAAACACAATAACGATCACCACGACCCAAGACAACCACGACGATGATTGCAAGGATACCCAGTTCCCCCCTCCAACTCCTTCTCCTCCTCCTCCTCCTCGTCCTCCTCCCCCTCCTCCTGATATCACTTTTATTGATGCGACTGTTGCCACTACTTCTGCTATCAATGCCACTACCACAACTCTCGTGGCCCTGCCCGCACCAGAGTACTGAGTAACCCCGCGCGCGCAGAAACTTCCAGACCCTGCACGTGCGACAATAACCTGCGAGCGCAGCACCATGTCTGCGAGCACGGGCAATGATCCTGTCAACGCCACGCTAGGCCGTGAACGTTAAAGTAGCCTTCAGGCACCACAGTAGCCTGCGAGCATCAGAATGGCAATACCAGAGGCGCAGCACTAGAGGGGAGGGGGGAGCGTTACGTTATGGGGGGCATAACGCGCGTTAAGGCACAGAGAATTTCAAACATACGCTCAAGAAGGAAGACATGGGAAATGTCTACAAGAGGAAATACAATGAAAAAGAAAGGGAAAGAGAAAAAGGTAGAGAGAGAGAGAGAGAAAAACAAAAACAAAAAAATGTACATGTATGTATGTATATATATATATACGTATGACTAGGCAACGAGGAAAGAGAGAGTGGGAGAGACCCAACAAAACCGTGGTTGGTTGAGAAGGAGGAGCAGTAGAAAAGGGCGGGAAGTGGGAGCAGGGACAAGGATGAGGGGGAAGGAGGTGAGAGGAGGAGGCGATGGATGGAGTAGGAGGTGGATGTAGAAGCGGGATGGATGCGGGAGGAGGAGAAGGAGGGGGAAGAGAGGACAGGAGAAGAAGAGAAGAGGGGGAGAAAGAGGAGCGGGGAGGAGAAGAAAGAGGAGGATGGGAAGGAGAGGAAGGGAAGACGAGAAGCGAGGCAGAGGTGGGAGAAGGCGAAAGATGGAAGCGGCAGGAGGAGGAGCGGGGGGAGCGAAAGAAAGAGGGAGAACGAGGCGGAGGTGAGAGGACGCCGGTGGATGAGGGAGGAGGTGGGAGGGGCAGCGAGGTGGAGGGAGGAGGAGGAGGAAGAAGAAGAGGAGGACTATATTGTATTGTTAAGGCCCTTGTGGATAGGCATGACGCTGTCGAATCTGATGGGGCACATGGGCTCGCCCGTCCTCCAAAGGGTGCTCGTGGAGGTTGTGAGGACGAACCTTCTGGTCCCAGGAGGAGGAGAGGAAGGAGGAGGAGGACGGGAGGAGCGGGATTATGAGGAGGGGGAAAGAGGGAGGAGGAGGAGGAGGAGGAGGAGGAGGAGGAGGAGGAGGAGGAGGAGGAGGAGGAGAGAAGGAGAGAAGGAGGAGGAGGAGGAGGAGGAGGAGGAGAGAGCAGGAGGAGGAGGAGAGGAGGAGGAGGAGGAGGAGGAGGAGGAGGAGGAGGAGGAGGAGGAGGAGGAGGAGGAGGAGGAGGAGGAGGAGGAGGAGGAGGAGGAGGAGGAGGAGGAGGAGGAGGAGGGGAGAGGAGGGACGGGAGGGGAGGGAGGGAGGGGAGGGGAGGGGAGGGGGAGGGGAGGGGAGGGAGGGGGGAGGAGGAGGGAGGAGGAGCAGGCAGAACAAGAGGAGAGGAGGAGGAGGAGGAGGGGGGGGAGGAAGAAGGAGGAGGGGGAGAGGGGAGGGAGGAGGGGGGCGTCCTCCCGCAGCGCGGCTGCGGGGCGCCCAAACGGCTGCGGCGGGCGAGCGTGCCTGGGTGCGGCGATCTGCAACGCTCCGCCTGAGGGATGGAGGGAGGGGAGGGAGGAGGTTTGGAGGGCGGAAGAGGAAGAGGAGGAGGAGGACGACGATGAGGAGGAGGAGGGGGAGGAGGGGAGGACGAGGGTTAGAAGAGGAGGAGGAGGAAGAGGAGGAGGAGAGGAAGAGGAGGAGGAGGAGGAGGAGGAGGAGGAGGAGGAGGGGGAGGAGGGAGCAGGAAGAGGACGAGGAGGGATGAAAAGGAGGGGAGAGGGAGGAGGAAGGAGGTTCGGAGGGAGGAAGAGAAGAAGGAGGAGGAGGAGGAGGAGGTGTGGGAGGAGGAGGGAGGAGGGAGGGAGCGAAGAGGGGAGGGGGCAAGTGACGGCGGGTGCCCCCGCGTCTGCACTGGGATATTTCACCTTGGCACACAATCGCGGTGAAATCAGTCATCATGTACCACCGCCATCTCACAAGAGAATGCCATTGCCAAAATCACATCAGATAATCTCAAGACAAGCGTCCATACCTGGAGTAAAACACCAATCCACATCAAACGAACAACAACACAAGAAGACATACCAGCCACCGGGATGTCGAACACAACTCTCCTCCAGCCGATCTCTCGGGCATGGGCCATGCACATGGGATCGAAGGATCCGCCCGTCCACACATGCCGGGCTCACCCAGAGCCCGGGATCGGTGTCGGCCCGCCTGGACTGGCCATGGAAGCAGAGGGCGGCGATGGGGAGACGTAAGACTCGGGTCCGGACTGGGGTTGGCCTGACGGGGCCGTCATGGAAATGACGAGACCCAATCTGAGATTTGACGCGAGCTCCCGCTGCAGGTTTACGGTCAACCCGTCTTGTAAGGACGCACAATAAGGATGTAAGGGCCTTGGAAGGCCATGTCGACACTTTGCGAGAGGGGCACGGCCAGCGAAAGCGGCCAAGGATGGGCCGAAGAGGAAAGATGCAAAGATAACCGTGCAAAGTCGCTCATCCTTACTATGCCTATGCGGGTTGACTGTAGGAAGGCTTATACATCGATAATAAGCCCAAGATTGGGCCTGGTACCGACCTCCAAGCGCGAAACTTGGGAACAAACAAGATGACGAGAGATGAAAAACCTTCGCGAGGCTAAATGTCCAGGTCTTCAGAAGCCTCCATCCACAGAACCCCTCAAGTCCTTGGAGGCCTCTGGAGGCCAACAGAAAAACGACAGCACGACAATACATCCACCTCTTCACATCTGTATGGAAAACACCGATCCTCGAACCGCGTCAGTGCAGCTGGATAGTTGCACCGACGCCGCCGCCGCCGCCTTGGCTGCTGCCAGGGCCGCCGCCGTCGCCCAAAATCCTGGATCCCGACGGTCAGTCAACATCGATCCGGAAAAGCCGAATTGAATCGGAATGCGCGTCGGATCGGTCTGCATCGGCACGGAGTCGAAACCGCATCGGACCTGCCTGGCCAGGATGATGCACACCACTGCGCCGTGCGACCAGCGGGCCGCACCGCATCGCCGCAACACCGGGATCCCATCGGGTCGGGCCGACCAAAAGCAACATCGAATCTGATCGGTCGAATCGAAGCAGGAGAGCCCAGCATCGAATCGACAAGTCGGATCGGCGATCGAAATGAATGGGATCGGCGGAAATCGGCAGCCATGTCGGGAGAAATCGAATCGGCAGAAATCGGCAGGCTCGTAGGCCTCCATGGAGGAATCGGAGCCCAAGCAGGAATCCGACATCGAATCGAATCGGAATCGGAAGCCACCGAAATCGAATCGGATCGAATCGGAGAAATCGAAATGAGCCCTGATCGAAGTGGGCCCTGAAGACCTCCGCCCACTGCCGCGCGGGAAGAGTTGGCCCTCGCGTGCGCCCGGGGCTCCGGCGCCTGTCGCGGGTTGTCGAGCGCCGCACGAGCCGCGCGGACGGCCGGTGCACATTGGCCCGCGCACGCGCGGCTCGGGGAAGTGCCACGCTCGTGGTGGGACGTGCAGGGTGCTGGCACCGCGGACTCCGCGATCGGCGGCAGCGGCGGGGAGAGCAGCAGCAGCAGCAGCAGCAGCAGCAGCAGCAGCAAGAGGGAAGAGGAAAGAGGAGCGCGCCAGGGGGGAGAGCAGCAGGAGGAGGAGGAGGAGGAGCAGCAGGAGGAGGAGGAGGAGGAGGAGAAGGAGGAGGAGGAAGAGGAGGAGGAGGAGGAGGGCTGGAGGAAGCCCAGGAATGATCACAGCGTTGCCGCGGTGCACTCGCCCCTCTCCCCAAGGTTCCCTCCCCGCAGGAGTCCCTGCGCGCACGCCCTGCCGCCGCGGGAACGCAGAGGCGCCCCCCCCCTGGAAGGACGGGCGCCCCGCGGGCCTGCTGCTGCTCGGGCGAGGGCCCGCTCTGCAGGTCAAGGATCCGACACGCTACAGTCATCGGCCTGACCTAAGGAACGATAAAGAAGGAACGAAGCCCCTCTTTTATCCCAAGGAATAACGCATAAGGAACGATAAATAACAAACAACGCATAAGGAACTGTAAATTGCGCATGCAAACCTAAGGAACGACCGAGTCCCTTTCGAAAAGTAAAGTGTTCCTTATTCAAGCCGCTCACTGTAAGAGGCGGCCAACGATGACCCCGCTTTGGGAAAAAAACAGTTGCCCTCCATCTGCGTTGAGCGTTGCACGATTCCACAGCCTTGGCCATACAGCGTGCGGAAGAATCGAGCGATGAGCTCCAGTTCGAAAGGGAGCGGCCCTCCATGCGTGCAGCTGCAGGACAGTGCGCAACGCCTGGTAGTAGATGGACACAGAGTCCCACCAGCCCTCCGGGCGTCGGTGGTTCAGGGCGTTTCCTCGTCCAGCCTCCCCTTCTTCCCCTTCGGGGAGAGGTTTACCCCTTCCTCTTTCCCCCTCTCCTGGACTTGGACGGGGCACCCCGCGAGGTGTCAGAGGGTGCTTTGGGGCCCAAGATAGATCCAAGAGCGCCTCAGAGAGCCCAAGATGACCTCCAAGATGGCTCAAGATAGCGCAAGCTGAGTCAGTATGGTTTCCACGATGCTCCATGAGGCCCCAAGACCGTTCCAAGATGGCTCCAAGTTGCGACGAAGCCTTCCACGGAGGCTCCCGAGAGGACAAAATCCTACAAGAACCCAAGGGAAATCAATGAATGATGCCATCTCGCCTTCTTGCTTTCGGTAGCCTTCCGAGGCCTCAAGGTGGCCCCAAGAAAGCCCAAGAGGGCACCAAGAGAGGCTCAAGAGAGCCCCAAGGCGGCCCCAAGAGCGCCCAAGAGCGCCCCAAGAGCGCTCCAAGAGGGGCCCAAGAGGAGATTTAGGGGGGGGTCCGAGGGGGGAGGCCAATGAAGGACCCCCCCATGATTTGCTCGAGCTCTTCCAACATGGCTCCAGGCGGGCTTCTGGGGCCCCCAAGACAGCTCCAAAAGTCTCCCGAGAGGCCCCAAGGATGCACATAAGCAGCCCCCAAGAAGCCCCCAAGAGGCTCCCAGTGGCATACAAGACGTCCCAAAACGCTCGCGAAACCGCCAAGAGGCCCCCGAGACGCCCCAAGAGGCCCCCAAGCAAGCTTCAAAGAAACATCCCATGAAATTATGAAATACATCAAAGAGGCCTCTGGCCTTCTGGTTAGCCTCATCCTCCTCACCCTCCCACCTCCTCCTCCCCTCACCTCCCTCCTCCCCTCTTCTCCCCGTCCTAACTCCTCCTGTCCTCGTTCCTCGTTTTCGTCATCCCCTTCGTCCTTATCATCTTCCTCCTCGCCCTCATTCTCTTAGTCCTCGTCCTCCTCATCCTCGTTTCCCTTCACTTCCTCATTTTGCTCCTCTTGCCTCGTCCTCCTCCTCATTTTCCTCCTCCTCCTCAGCGACCCCCGCGCGGGCCCAGGGATTGTCCGAACAGGCCCTCCAGGCCAGCCTTCCCTCGCTCCGAAAGATTTCTCGATTCACCATTGTTGCCCGCGCTGTTAGACTACATGTGTCTTTTCCTCTCTTCCCCCGTGAGCTGTCATGGGCATCGTTTCTGGAAGGGCTGGTGGGGATTTTTTGATCGCGAGCGCAGGACGCCGGGCGCCGTCAACGTCGCAGCAAGCAAGCTACGAACTAATCGCGCCAAGGGGAAGGAAGGGGGCCGAGGAGGGAACAGCAGGGGGGGGAACAAACAGGAGGCGGGCCTCGCTGCCACTCAGAAGAGGGCGCCGTCGACCGGGAAAAACTTCCAGGAGGGCTGCATCGCCAAAATGGCGTGGAATTCGCGTTGAACGACACCTCGAGCGTGCAGGTGATGGGGACCATCGGCAGAAATCACCACGAAGACCAGCGTCAGGGTCCACGGTCCCGCCGACGCACGCCCCGGCAGGCATCGACCAACTCCATGCAGGCGCTCAACGGACCAGAGTCCGGATCGCCAGACACCGTCAAGGACTGGAGCCGAGACCGAGGGCGGGCGGGCGGGTGCGGGCGGGCGCACGCGCACCGTGGTAGGCAGGAGGACCCCGCTCGGGGACCGTCGGGGAGGAACCCGCACGGCGGGGGGGTGACCGAGTGATCAGCCGATCCTAGGCCAGGGAAGGGGGGCCGCAGGCCACGGGCCGTAGAGCCGAAGGCCGAGGCGGAAGGGCACGGCTGGCGGGGATACTTTTTGATCGCAAGCGCACAGGAAGACGCCGGGCGCCGTCAGAACGAAGCGTCGAAGCAACGGCCAAAAGTGGTGCACAGAAGAACGAGGGCGAGAAGAAAAGAGAGAGACGGCGGAAGAACAAGCAGCGGGCGGACCTCACTGCCGCTCAGAGGAGCGCCAGCACCAGCAGCGGTGGGGATACTTTTTTGTTCGAGAACGATACGGAACAGCCGCACGCCGTCAGAGAGTCGCAAGCAGCGTGCCGCAATCAAAATTAGGCCACGCGCTCACAGGCGAACTGTGCAACGCTCAGCGGGTGAGGCCCGGAGGGGATACTTTTTTTGATTTGCGGCCCGCAAGGAGAAGTCCAGAGGGCGTGTCACCCCGGTGGGGATATGCGAACCGTTTAGAATTTAAGGAAGTCTCAAGCTAGAGAAGCATCTGGAAAAAGAAGCGGTATCTATCCGTGTAACAGCTGGAACCTGAAGATGTCGCATGGCGAAGGACCCAACCATAGGCAGCTTCGAGTCCGCAAGACAAGTGGAAGCTAAAGGGGCAGCTAGCTAGCAACAGGACTAAGGAATGCGTGAGAAGGAAGGAGCGACAGTGCTGATTGGGTCACAAAAGTCGGCCGTAACGGGTACATAACCCGTTACGGCAAATCTGCGCGTCTGTCTTAGCGGCCCTGGGAAGCAGCAGGAGGCGGAGCCTTCGATGGAGCTCCCTGTGGGTCCACGGAACGTGTGAGGAGTATCAAAATCAACAGAATCTGACATACAATTCGTGCCTCTGGGGCCTTCGATGGAGCTCCTTATGGGGCAACGAACCGTGTGAGGGGTGTGCCGACATGGGCGCGATCGCACATGCGATTCCTGCCACTGGGGCGTTCGGTGGAGCTCCCTATGAAGCCACAACACGTGTGAGCGGTGCGCCGAAATGAGCGCAGTCACTCCTGTGGGCCCTGCCACTGGGGCCTTCGGTGGAGTTCCTTATGGGGTAATTAACGAAACGTGTGAGGGGTGTGCTGAGATGTGGCGGATGATGGTGATGATGATGCTGCTGACTATGGTGATGACGATAGTGGTGATGACGACGAGGACATGCGGAGGGCAGACGCAAGGCGGGAGAGCATTCAGCACTCCACAAGCCAATCGCCGCCCCGATCAGACATGAGACGCCCCTGCTCGGCACGGATGAGGTGAGCTGACGCGGGGCGCCGCTGACTCCAAACGAGGACCCACCACCACAGGACGATTGGGAAAAATGTGTGCGGCGCTAATGCGAGAACCGCAGTTTGGAAATCACCCGCCCCCCGTATGTTGTTACATGATTGTTAGCTTCAATACCGAGGCCTCAAGCGAAACGCCCATCCCAGCCCACAGAAGCGTCTCAGGGTGAGACAGGAGGGGAAGTCATTCGCAAAGAAGACAGACTGAGCAGCAGCATGCGGAGCAGGTGGGGAAGAAGAACGACGAGAAGGAGGACGACGACGAAGACGAGGACACGCGGAGGACGCGGAGGACGAGGACGAGGACGGGGGACGAGGACGGAGGACGACGAAAGAGGAAAAGAGGAGGAGCAGCGCGGAGGAGGGAGGGCGAGGGGCGGAGGGCATGGGAGTTCCGGCGGCGGCCGCGCAGTGGCCCACTGCCTATCCACGGGTGGGGGGGCGGGGAGGCCGCGCGCCAGAGGGGCGTGCAGGCGGCTAATTCCGGGGCGGTGGCGAGGTGTGAAACGGCCGCCAACGTCGGGCCACCAGGCCTCTTCGTCACCGTGCTCAGCCTTCAAATCCTCCTCCTCATCATCACCCTCTTGGCACCACATCATCATCATCATCATCATCATCATCATCATCATCATCATCATCATCATCATCATCATCATCATCATCATCATCATCATCATCATCATCATCGTCATCGTCATCGTCATCGTCATCGTCATCATCATCATCATCATCATCATCATCATCATCATCATCATCATCATCATCCATCATCATCATCATCATCGTCATCGTCATCATCATCATCATCAGCAGCAGCAGCAGCATCAGCAACAGGAGGGGGAAAAGCTGGGCCGCCTTCCTCTGATGGAGCTCTTTTGCCAACGCAAACCGTTTCGTCTTCGAGCAAACCGTGTCGAGACGTGAGGCACAGGAGCGCTAAAAAGAAGTACAGTGAGCGAACTGAGAATATTCTGAAACTCAGGCACCCCCGGAGCAGGGGCATTGGGCTGGCATAGGGAGGCGAATGAAGAGTTTGAGCCGCGCGCCCAGCCCCCCTCCTTCACGCGCACGCACCCCTGGTGGGGAAAAGCTGGGCCGCTCTCCTCTGATGGATCTCTGTTGTCAACGCAAACCATATTGTGCCGCGGCCGTTTCGTCTTCGAGCGCGCGGACGGGAGGCACAAGAGCCCCAAAAACAAGTACAGCGAGCGACCTGAGAGCATTCTGAAACTCAGGCACCCCAAGCCCCCCGATCCGAAGGTAGAGTGCCGTTATCAAATGTTAAAATAATTGCAAGCTTTCGAGACAAGGATGGACGTGAGCACGTGAGCCAGACGCGCGGGGCAAGGCATAGCCACGAGTGTCCAGCGAATCCCACTTGGCCCAGCTCCTTCCAAATGCCGGCGGGGGCGCCCCGCGCGGCTGCAGACTCCTCGTCCAGAGCAGACTCCAGTGAGCTTAATCAGATCATCTAGACAAACGCTGCCGACTAACAAAGAATCCTTTTCTGCCAGGGTTTCCCCCATTGACAAAAATCTATCGCAACCGAGCGAGCGTGACTACGCGCAGCAAAATCTCTAAGTTTGTGATCGCACCACATTTTGGAACTGCGGGGGTTCTCGAGAACCCAGGGGGGGCCCGGCAGACCGGGCAGCGCGGGCCAGATCGAGAGCTGTGTCCAGCGCGGCGCTGTCGAGAGCGATCTCGGCCTGGCCGCTGGCCTTCAAGCCCGGGATCCCCTGATAAACTTCCGAGACGGAATTGGATGGGTTCGATCTCGAGCGGCCAACCACGAGCGGCGGGGGGGGCGAGCACCATGCCGACACCCAGGCCGCGAGCGACGTCCTGCTTGATGGGCCCGCGAACCTTTGGGTCGCAGAGGTCCTCAGAGGTCCCGTGGAAGAGGCCCCACTCACGAGCACAAAAACCGGCCGGACGGACTTTCTCGCCCACCAGCCCGCAACCCGAGAAACAATCAGTTATATAAGTCTTATTCACACATGCTGGCGACCGAAGGCTAGAGGAGCACGCCTGCCTAGGAAAACATCCGCGAGCAGTGACTCGCAGCGAACGCAATGGCTTCTGGTCAGGGCGTCTAGCTTCCCGAACGCTAGACCCACGCGAGCACGTTTCTCGCGCCGAGCGACTAATTTCAACATCCGCCATCGACCTCGCTTCATCACTTCTGTCAGGCCGCGGAGGTTCTGGAGCCCGTCGTGGGAGGCTCCGCTGTGCCGGAGCTGGTAGGGCACCGCCGCTGGCCTCGAATTGATCACCCGCCATACCGCGTCGAGCCACTTGAGCGAAATCATGTCCAGCTGAATGCCGTCGTCGAGCGCGCCGACCTCGGCGGGGGCGCCGAGCTCCTCCGGCGCGAGCAGCAGGCTCCAGCGGCGGGAGACCCCCCCAAACGGGGCCACGAAGTGCCCGCACCTCACGTCGAGCACCTCCGGCGGCCTCAGGTAGCACATGAAGCTGAGCAGGACCGCCGCCGATTCGCGGCGCTTGCCACGCTCGATCAACCAATTGCACACGGCCGCCCATACGCAGAACGGCATCGGGCGTGGGCTCCGCCCAGGGCACAGCCGTCGCCACCCCTTCACCGCCCTCCAAGATCGCGGGGGCGAGAGCTGGCCGACCTTCCCAGACTCCAGGAGGACGTGGATGACCCCCGCCAGCAGCTTCTTCCCCACGTTCGCCTGTCGCCCAGATAGGAACAACTCCGTCATGTGGATACACAGCGCCCCATCCAACTGGGTTGGCGGGCGAAGGCCCAGCCAGCGCTGCTTCGCCCAGTAGTAGAACCGAGGGACCAGGAGGTGGTTGCAATCCCTGGTCTTCGGCTGGACCGCCTCCAACTCGAAGGGCGCCCAGCTGGCCCATGGCATGTCGGGCGCCGACCAGGTACTTGGTGCGTCCTCGCTTGCACCGCGCCACTGCGGCGTCGCCCAAGTGGTCGCTGTCCGAGCTCTCCGCCACAGCCGCTGGCACGCCGCTGCCCAGGTCGGCATCAGCCTCCGCGCGGTCGGCGGCGATCAGGGGCCCTGTCACGGCCTCCTCCACCGACGGCCTCTCCAACTTCGGCGGCGGCCGCTGGCGGGGCAGCACTGGCGCCGCCACTCCCAGGGCCCGCTTCGACGCCGCTGCAGACGGCGGCCGCGCGGCGGCGGTGGGCTCAGCGACCCGCGCCGCTAAGGGAGAGCAGTTGCCGACCCCGCGATCGCAGGCGGGGCCAGGTGGGCACGCCGCTCGGCTGCCACTGCCCGCCTGGCCGCTGCTGGGCCCTGCCCGCGGCTCGCTTCCATCGGCGCTCCGCGACGGGACGTCGGCCAGGTTGGACTCCCACTTGTCCGACGGAAGCACGGAATAACGCGGCAAGACAAAGGGCGCGACAGCGTCGGATTTGCTGCAGCACAACGTAGTTCTCACATCTTCCCCAAGCGAACGAGAGAGCGATGGCCACAGTATCGACCAGGAACAGGTTTCGGCTGTTTCGAACCCCCACTGTGATGAGACTCTCCAGTCCTAGAACCAACGCTCGAGCTTCTAACTCCAGGGTGCGTTCCCCGAACTTCCACTTACCCTTTTCCACTAACTCTCCAAAGTGATACCACATCGCTCTCGGCGATGCTGCCCCCTGCCGAGAGTAGGCCCCCTTCCCAGAACGGCACCTCCGGAGACAGGCTGTCGACCATACAGACTTCCTCCCCCGACGACAATGGCAGGGCCCCCCTACGTCGACGATGCCGATGGTGTCGGAGAATGGCGGCGGATGATGATTGCCCTCGCCATCGTTTAACAAATACAGCGCTGCGCTCGCTGCCACGCGCTATTCAAGGCTATGCACACGACAGAATCGAGACGCCTCTAAGGTACGAGCGATGCTAGCCACTGCGTTGGCCGTCAGCAAGCAACGGCAGCGCCCCCATCCCAACGCCACCATCTCGCACCAGGGCAAATCCCACGGCGCCCGCACCAAGGGCAGGAGTCCGATGAAGGCCTGGAGATCCTGCCACGCCGTCGGCCACACGATGGCCGCGGCTTCGCCGCATCGGTGGATGCAGGCGCAGCAGGCGTTGAACGCGCTCAGGGACGTCCGATCCAGCAGGCTCACGAAGGCGGCGTGGCCGACGAGCCTCTCCGGCTGCTTGCCAATGAGAGGCGGCGTCGGAGGGCCCAACGAAAGGCCCCGCCAACGCGCCACCTCCGCTTCACGGAAACCTGCGTCTCGAGCCGGTGGCCGTCCAGCACGCAGCCCAGCGTCTCGCCTCCACCCGCAATCAGCTTGTGCTCGTGCGTCTTCACGCCGACCGCCCCCAGGGCGGCACAGCCGGCGCCGAACACCAGTCGCGCGGGGGGCTCGGCGCCGCCGACGACGACGAGGTCGTCAGCGCACAGGGCGCACCGCACCCCTGCCGCCTTCCGCGGCGCGATCAGCTCGGCGTGGTCCGCGATCCTCCTGCCGGGGCCAAGCCGGGGCACCCCGTCGAGGACCGCCTCGCCACGCCTCTGGGCGACCCACAAGGGCCAGGTGAATCCCATTGGGAACGAGGCCACTTAGGGGCACACTGGGCCCCCCTCGCGCCGCGATGTCCCGCGGCGGCGCGCACTTCGCAGAGATCGGCCGCAGGGCGAAGCACCAGCGCACGCTGTCGGGGAGCCGCAACCGATCGAAGTTCTCCACGTCGCCGACCCCCAGCGCGACGCAGCAAGCGGGGTCGACCCCAGAGCCAGGCTCGCACTCAATCCTAGACAGTCCTTCGCTCGTGATCAGGACGGTGCGAGGGTGGGCCTTGAAACGAGGGCCCCCTCTCCTCGCGCCGATGATGAGCCTCAGGGACTTGTCTTTCTTGCCTACGAAAAACAGGTCGGCATGCTCGATGGGTTCGGTGGCCCACCTGATCATGCGCCGCTGGTCGAGGCCCAGGGTGAACTGCTGGTAAGTCTTTCGATTCCACGACAGCTTCCTGTCCCAGAACGGCTTGATACCTCCCAACCTCTCGTTGAGCTCGTTGAACTCATCTGTAGACCGCATCATGCTCTTCTGCCAACCCTCGATGATGAGGCGGCCCTCAGCGTCTAGCACCTCCGTCACGCATGCCGCATCGCGGACGCGCTCGTGGAGCGAGACGGAAACAAACTCGTAGGGCACGACGGTGGCGTGGGTCTCCTCGGCGTCGCAACTAAGGTGACCTCGGAGAAGCACACTCGCGGCTTCTTCCTGAGAAGGCGCCGCCACTGGCTTCGCGATGACAGGGGCGACGAGGGTCGCCACGGCCTCTTCTTCGGGCCCAGGGGCGCCATGGGACGCCGACGTCCGCGCGCCCAGGCACTTACGGAGCGCATCCAAGGTCTCGCTCTTACGCCTCAGCCCCTCCACGCCCAGCCCGCGTCGGCGCCGGGGCCGGCGAGAGGCAGACCCCAGCCTGGCCGGGATCTCACAGGCGGGCAAGCGCCGATGCACCCCCATGCAGGACCTGGAAAAGGCGGCGGGGAATGGCCCGCCCCTCCCCCCGCCGCGCGCCTCGCCCATGCAGCAGGCGGGGGCGCGGCGAGCACGGCCTCGGCCTCAGCCTTCGCATTGCCGGCTCCGCGACCCCCGCCGCCCTTGCTGCCGCCTGCCGCCGACGCCGAGCCGGACGCACCTGCGTCGTCGTCCGCGCCGTCCTCAACGTGCTTCATAGTCAGGCCGCCGCGGCGCACGCGGCCCTCCAGCGCCTTCTCCTCGAGCCTCCTGGGGCCAGAGACGCGGAGGTCGGGAGCCACCGCGTCCTCCAGCATCGCCGTGCCCGAGTACACGCCAGCCATGGCGTTGTTCGGCTTTACGCCCGGCACCGCATGCGCTTCGACGATGGCATGGGACCTCCTCATCAGCACCTCGATCCCGGCCAGGCACGGCATGGCCACCTGGTCGCAGCAGCCAAACATCTCGAAACTCTCGGCGAGGAACCGCATATCGGGGAAGGCGCTGTCGGAGGGGGCGACGTGCTTCCTCCGCGCCCACGCCTCCAACCACGATGTCGGCACGGACCCTAAGCGATCGATGCGCTTCATCACGATGAGGGTAGCGCACGGAACGTCGAGGGGCCAGTCCCGGAAGGCGTGCGCGACGGACTCCTTGCGCACCTCCTTCCAGTCCTTCCGCCGCTCCCCTTGGGCGCCCCAGTCGACCTCCAGCACGCGGACGTCGGGGGAGGCGTCGTCGCCGCCCGCGGGGATCGCCGCCGCCGCCGGCACGGGCCGCTCGACGAGCGGGCCCCCGTCGCCTGCCGCGTTCGCCTCGCGGACACCTTCCCCCCGCCGGAAGGCAGCGAGGGCAGCCTCGAGCGGGGCCCGCGACGTGGGCGGCGCGAACTGCGCCATCCTCTGGCTCCTGAAGTCCTCCTCGCTGAGCTCTGGGTCACTGGCACCTCTGTGCCTGTGTCCGACACCGACACTCCGAAGCTACGACCCGCAAAGACCACCGGCTGCGGCGCGACGATGCTGCCCATCTCGCCGAAGGCCAGGCTGGGCTCGGCCACGCGCCAGACGGTCGCGGCTGGCTGCCCCGCTCCGACTCCAGCGAGAGCAGCAAGCAGCCAGGATATCGCCCCGCACGTCGCCGCCAGGCCCCACGCGCGCCCGCGCCGCCGCCGACAGCGCCAGGGGCGGACCCGGCACGGGCAGCGCCGCGGCCGAGGCACCGCCTCGAGCGTGCCTGCGCTGGTGATCCAGCGGGTCGGCGCCGGCCAGTCGGGCAGGCCACGGGCCCGTCGGAGCCCGTCGGCGTGGCACTGGGCTGAGGCCATCAGGTCCAGGAGATCCTTCTGCTGGGCTGGGGCGGCGCACCGCACGATGCTGCTGGCCTCGAGCCCTGCAGGTCGCTCCCCTGGTGACTTCACGAACGCCACCTTCTCGTACAAAGTGGTGTCCTCTCCGTAGAAGTCGCCGTGGGGAGTGTACACCAGCAGCACGACGCTGACAGCGGCCAGACGAGCACTCGCTCATGGCCCAAAGCGTCACCCTCGAAGAACACCACGAACATGTGCCCTGGCAAGGGCGTATTGCGCTCGACAATGGCCATACTCCCACGACTCTGCGCGACACCCGCACGACGTCATGAGACCACTCACGAACGTCACCGTCGTGCCGAGACCCAGCTGCAGCCAACTGGTCAGCGTGACCACCTCCGGCAACGGCTCGGAGTCGATCACCCGCACAGGCTCGCACCCTCGCTCCCAGGGCGGTCCTGCGATCTCCTCGCACCTCTCGGGTGCCGGGCAAGGGGTACACAGATCGCACTCGCAGGGACGGCCGACCTCGTCTTCGCACCGCGAGTGAGGGGCTTGAGCCGCGTGTTGCGGTCCACCCCCCCTCCTTTACGTGCACGCACCCCCAGCATCAGCATCAGCAACGTCATCAGCATCGCCATCCTCCTTCACCCTCCTACACCCTCCTCATCTCCTCGTCCAATGTTCCTCCTGATCATTCACTTCTTTCTTCTCTCCTCATGAACCTCCTCGCCCATGTTCGTCCCTCTTCCTCCCTCTTCCTCCCTCCTCCCCTTCGTCCCCCCTCCTCTCCCCCTCTCCTCCTCTTCTCCTCCTCCTCACGCCTCCTCCGCCTCATCCTCCTCCTACTCATCCTCCTCATCCTCCCTTCAGATGAGAGTGGAACTCCCCAACATGCGACGTTGAGAAAAACGCATCCTGAAAATCATGACCGAAACTCTCAAACCCATCTTCATGCGTGATCTTCCGAGCTGGATCAACCCGTGATGGTCCTGGATCCTGGACCACGAAACGGATCGAAAAAGGTACGTCGCAACTTTTTACGACACCCAGATGTCTGGGGGCCTTGTCGACGACGGCCTCAGAGCTCTCGGCGCAATCCCCAGAGCCAGTTTTTCATCGCGGATCGATCTTCGCTTACCCCAGAGCCCGAACCACCCAGCCAGACCCCGCCGCAGTGGAAACCAAAAAACAACGATATCAAAAAAAAAGTGCGGAGGTGGCGGGGAAGGGGGGTCAGGCTCAGACGGCCTAATGAGTATGCCGACTCTGTAGCTTCTGGGAGGCCAAGCGCCCGAAACAGCACTCGTCTCGAGGAGCCACTGGGGACGACGAGTCGGCGGCAGGCCCTGTCCAAGACCGACGACGAGCGCTAACTAGACTTAGGTCGGGCATGTCCTCCTACTGGCGGATTTTGAGCGAAACATAAAAACACACACACACACAAACACACACACACACATAAAAAAAAACACATTCAAAATATGCAAACTTGGTCAAGAATACTCAAAAAGTCGTCCCCAGAGTATTGTTTGATTACTGTTGTGACTAGTTTTGAATACTCCTCCTGTAAAGGGACACGCCCGACTTAAAACTCGACGGGCGGACCATCCGATGCCCACCGCACCGACAACCCACCCGCTGGGAACGCGACGGCGAGCCCCGATCGAAGCGAGAAGAGGGTGGGGAGGAACCAGGCGCTGCCCGAAGTGCAACCTTACGAGCGAGCGAGCGAGCGAGCGAACGCGCGCCGTCGGTCTCCACGGACCAGCCCTGGCCTAAGACAACGGCGCGGGGTGGGCCAGAGCCCAAGATGGGGGCCATGCCGCGGCATTTTTGGCCTGGAGTCGGGGAGCTGACGTCGGCGGCCCCAGCCCAGGGTTGCCACAGGGCTGCGCCAGGGACAGGCCAGCACGAGGCCCCGAAGGGTCCGCGAGGCTGTCAGATGGCTCGAAGCCAGGGGGCACCTGGGGCCAGCGACTTCTCGGCCAGCTCCAGAGAGGGAGGGGATGGGAAGGGAAGACGCCCCGAAATCTTGATGTCTCACGTAATTCAAAAACCCGAACTGAGTACGGACAAACATGGTTACGATGCCAACAGGTGTTGTCCAAAACCAACAGCGGCCGCTGTTGGCCAGGCGGCCTTCTGCCTAAAATGGGCACTGTCTGGGGCGACACTGACAGCGAGTCCAGCTCTCCATGAACAGGAACGGATGTCGGTTTTTGTGCCCATCCTTTCCGTAACGATTTCGTTCGCGTCGGGGTAAGGTTTCGGGCTAGACAGCCCCCCCAGGTAGTCCTGGCTGGCCGCAACAAGCCCCCCGAGTAGCCCGGAGCGGTACCAACACCCTGGCGCCGCCTCCAGCGGCGCCCCCTGGGGCGCTCCGCGCCCCAGGGTTGAAGTGTTGAGACCGCCGCGGGCTACTCGGGGGGCCCGTTGCGGCCAGCTGGGGCCACCTGGGGGGGGCTGTCTGTGCGCAACGCGAAGCCTTACCATCGCTGTCCCCACTCCGAGCGCCTCGAATCTGTGGGGCGGCCCTCATCCCAGCTCGGCGCGGCTGCTGGCGCCCTAGCAAAGCCCCTGGTGAATTACCTGTCCGCGACCGTGCGTCTCCGGGATTGGTATCCACCCCGGCAGGCGCAATGGGCTGGTCGCCACTACGTGCGCTGAGACAGAAGGAGAGCAGGACCAGGAGGAGCAGGAGGAGCAGAGGAGCGTGGCAAAGCAAAACCTTCTCCAAAAAGAGAAATAGAGAGAGAGAGGAGGAGGAGGGTGAGGGAAGGGAGAGGGCGGAGTGGGCAGGCTACATACATAGTAGCCCCCCAAAGATCATACATATGTCTCTCTCTCTCTCTCTCTTTCCCTCTCTCTCTCTCACTCTCTCTCTCTCTCTCTCTCTCTCTCTCTCTCTCTCTCTCTATATATATATATATATCATTATTCTCTGTTTATGTTTTTCTCCATCTCTCTTCTTCTTCCTCCTCCCCCTCTCCTCCTCCTCCTCCCCCTCCTCTTCCTGCTCCTCCTGCGAGCGGCCTTACCACAGGATTTCCTATTGGAAAGCCTTACAAGGGCTGCTGTGTGAAGGAAACCATATGAAAATACAGATATTCATGACATGTTGGGTGGCTTTCGTAATGAAACCATACACTAATAATAACAATAAGAATGGTAAGAATGATTATAATAATCATACTAGTACTGATAATACTAATGAATAAAAAAATAATACTAATAATAATAGCAATAATAAAAATAACAACAATAATTCGTTATCAAAAATATTCCTTATATGCTTGGTGGTTTCCATCCAGAAACCATATGAAAACACAGATTGCTTGATATTTGCTGGTTTTCTGGGGACGGACGCCACCCCGCCTGCTCCTTCCCCGGGTCCATGCCCCCCGGGGACACTGCGCCAGGCAGGAACACCGGTGAAAACACAGATATCCATGATATTGGGGAGGATTCCGCAACGAAACCTTGCGAAAACGCAGATATGCCTGAGATTGTGCATGGTGTTTGTCCGGAAACCATATGAAACCAAATATCCATTATAGTTGGGAGGCTTTCGCACTGAAAGCCTGTGAAAACACAGATATTCCTGACATTGTGGATGCTGTTCGTCCAGAAACCATATGAAAACATCGTGCATGTGTATATATATAGTCTTGATATGTTAGGTGGTTTTCGCAAGGGACCCTGCGAAAACATAGATATTTCTGGCATTGTGTGTTTCTGCGGACGGACGCGCCCGTGTCCAGAAAACCAAAAAATCCGGAAAACCTGTGTTTTCACATGGCGTCTTTACGAAAACCTGAAAAAGATCAAGAATAGATGTGTTGTCACTGGGCTTCCTTGCCAAAACCTTTTTTAAAAATATAGGGAATATCTGCATTGTGTCAGGGCTTCCTTACCAAAACCTTTAAACATATAGTGATTATCTAGGTTTCACCAGGTTGCCTTACCAACGCCTCATGGACCCCTCTGTGTCTGGTCCTGGACAGCAGACTCTGATCAAAGGATTTCTACTGAACAGCTCCGCACAAGGATTCCCACTACTGAATTGCTCCACAAAGGAGTTCCTATCGAAAGGCTCCACGAAGGGATTCCTACTGAACTGCTCCACAAAGGAGATTCCCATGGACCTGCTCAACAAAAGGATTCCCACTGAAACCTTGCAGCGCGGGAGGGCGGCGGGAGAGCGGAGAGAAGGATTCCAATGGAAACCCTCCTCAAAAGGACTCCAAGCGAAGACCTCTTCAAAAAGCTTCCACTGGCAATCCTCCTCAAACGAATTCCGATCGAAGGTCTGTTCGCGGCGGGAGAGCGGAGAGAAGGATTCCAACTGAAACCTTCCTCAAAAGGATTCCAAGTGAAATCATCTTCAAAAATTCCACTGGAAATCCTCCTCAAACGGATTCCGATTGAAGGTCTGTTCAAGCGGGTTCAACTTGAAATCCTCTTCCAAAAGGATTCCGATGGAAATCCTCTTCACGAGGATTCCTAATGAAATCGTCTTCAAAAGGATTCCAATGGAAATCCTTTTCAACAGGGTTTCACCCGAAATCCTATCCAAAAGGATTCCAATTCAGATTCTTTCCAATGGATTCCTATTGCAATCCTGAAGAGCAGGAGGGCAGGAGAGCGGGAGAGCGGAAAAGCGGAGAGAAGGATTCCAATTGAAATCCTCTTCAAAAGGATTCCACTTGGGATCATTTCCAAAAGGGTTCTAGTTGAAATCCCTTCGATGGAAACCGTTTCGAATGAGATTTAATCGGGTTCCGTTTGAGGACGACTTCAAGTGAAATCCTTTTGATGTGGATATCACTTGGAACCCTTTTGACGAAGATTTCAATGGGACCCTTTTTGAGGAAGACTTCAATCGGAATCCTTTTGCTGAAGATTTCAATTCGAATCCTTCTCTCCGCTATCCCGCCCACCCTTTCTCCCGCTCTTCCACTCGCCCGCCCTCCCGCTCTCCGGAATTTCATTAAGAATTCTCACGAAGGCGGTGGATGTGAGGTGGATTTCACTTGGAATCCTTTTTGAAGAGGATTTCACGAAAAATCCCTTCGGGGATTTTAGTTAGAATCCTTTAGAACAGGATTTCATGCGGCTCTCTTGCTTTCCCGGAATCCTTTCGAAGAGGATTTCAAATGAAACCCTTTTGTAAAAAAAGGAGTTAAACTGTAATCGTTTGGAAGAAGATTTCAATAGGAGTCCTTGCGAAGAACACTTCCATCGGAATCCTTCTGAAAGAAAATTTCAAATTGAATCCAATTGAACAGACCTTCGGTTGGAATCCGTGTGAGGAGGAATTCCACTGGAATCCCTCTGAAGAGGATTTCAAGTGAAATCCTTCTGAAGACGATTTAAAAGAATTTCTATAGGAATCTGTTGATGAATTCATTTGGAAACATAATCTCCGCTCTCCCGCTCTCCCGTTCTCCCGCTTTTCCACTATCCCGCTCCCCCGCTCTCACGCTCTCTCGCTACTCTGGTTTCCCGCTCTCCCGCTCCCCCCCGCTCTCCCACTCCCCCACTCTCCAGAATTTCAATGGAAATCTTCCTGGCGGGGGTTTCAGTTGGAACAGGGGACAGCAAAGAACACGAGGGGGACACAAGGGGACACGAGAGGACAGCAGGGGGCAGGGGACACGAGGGGACAGCAGGGGGCTCAAAGGGACAGCAGGGGACACGAGGGGGACACGAGGAGACAGCAGGGGACACGCGGGGACAGCACGGTACACAACCGAGGAATCGCACGACAGGGTGACAGAATGAAGATTACCGTCACAAAGATGAATAAGAGAAAAATGAGGATGAATGCGATTCAAGACGAGATGTATGATCTCGGGTGGGGGAACCATATATACATACAAACATATGTATATACACACATATGTATATATGTATATATATATATATATCTATATATATATATGTATCACTTGCTTGCCGCTAACCATCAGGCGACGGTAGACAATCGGTAGCGCGCAGACACATCATGCCACGGGCAATGAGCAACGCTCTCGAACTCTGAGGTGGACGACCACACATGCGTGAAGCGCCGTCCTGGCGCACGGATCAGGCATGCACACCTGGGCCCGAGAGGAGAAGAAGGGAGAGAAAGGGGGGGCTAGAAAAAGAAACTTGAGCCAAGAGTCACCGGATCAGGAGGCTCTGGCAATCACGACAATGCTGCAAAGTCTGCCCGGTGCCCTTTTCACCTTCCGAGTCGACTAAAGAAGGGCACCGGTCCGCATGTGACCTGTTTCCAACTTCGGCCGACTAAGGAAGGTCACCGTCCAAATCCGCGCAATGATCAGTGGACTCGCGCAAAGAGAGATTCTGCATAAGTCCGGTGCTCTTTTTACTCTCCGAGCCGACTGCAGAAGGGCATCGGTCCGCCAGCGAGTCGTGCCTCCCCCGACCGACTAGAAAAGGTCACCGGTCACATCTCCTACTTTCAGGAGGCCAAAGCAAACATGATAACTCAACAGGTTGTTAAATTACTCGCTAGCCCCCAACCTTCAGGCGACGGTAGACGATCGATAACGCGCAGACACATTTCGCCACGGGATGTGAGCAACGCTCTCGAACTCTGAGGTGGACGACCACACATGTGTGAAGTGCCGTCCTGGCGCACTGATCAGGCACGCACAGCTGGGCCCACGCCCACATCATGAACTGGGAGGGGCGGCTGGGTCATTGTTAACGTCTTGGTCGGCTGAATCTCTGGGTTCCTAACAGCGAGACAACAACTCGGCAAGCGCCCACTCACGGGCGATGCGTCGGCTGCTGGCGAGCGGTTCACGACGCCGCAATGCCGGCCGCCCATGGCCCTGCGGAGCCCCCCGCTGGGAGCTCGGGCGCCACCGCGCCTTCGATGGCCCCCTGCAGGTTCCAGTCGGCCAACTCGCAGAATATCATGGCGTCGCTCGACAGCGCGCGGAGCAGCTTCTGCGCCCGCCCCGCCATCGCGCACCGTCGAACCGAAGCCACCGGCAGCCAGCGCCCGCGGGCCACGACGTCCGAGTGCCCCCTCGGCGAAAAGGCCCCCAAACGCGCCTCCGCGTCGCAGCTGGTAGAGGCATAGTCCGGGCAGCCCGAGGAGCGTCGCGGCGGCCCTGAACTTGCTGACCGCCAGCCCGCCTCGACCCGCAGGAGCACTCGCCAGCCCGGAGACCTGCTCTTCAAAGCAGGGCCCACCTAGCTCGGCGAGCCCAGAGCGATCGCGTCGTCGAAGGCCCCCCCGTCTCGCTGAGCCCGCAGTCCTCCTGCGGCGCAACCACGATGGACCGGCGGTCGAGGGCCGACTGTCGGCCGCGGCGGCGCTTCCGGCCCACGGGAGCGACGAGGTCCTTCACCCCCAAGCCTCGCGCCTCCCCTGGTCGGAGGCAAGCGACCCAGGACACCGGCAGCATCTGCGCCAGGTGGAGGCCCCAATACTTGACGATGGTCACGAGGATGGCCATCACGAGCCTCGGGATCGGGGCCCTCGACCGAGGGGGGCGTTTTGTCCTGAAGCCCTCCAGTGCCCTGGTCACTCTTGGCAGAACGTGGACACCTGGCACCATGAACATGCGGCATGTCACAGCAGCGACCACCTTCTCGGCACCCCCGCACTTGTTCCCCTTCTCCAGCAACGCGCCCAGGCAGTCCAGGAGGAGGTTCGACGGGGCCGAGGCGGTGGACGGGAGGGGCATCTTCACCTCGTTCGCGACCCACCCGCG